GTACTGGGGATCAAACTCAGGACCTTGTGAGGCAGGTGGCAGAACCACTGAGCTAAATCCCTGGCCCTGCTTCGTTTAGCTTTTTATTCCCACTTCTTTTTCCATAGCAACCACTGATATTTTTAAAGTTTCTATAATTTTGCTTTTACGTAAATGTCAGGTAGTTGTAACAATATAATACATTGTCTTTCCAGCCTGGTCTTTCACCAAGCAGTATTCATTTAAGTTTTTTCTGTGTTTCTGTGGTTTGGTAATTTCTTTTTACTGAGCATTTTTAAAAATGCAGCAAACAGTAACTAAAAACTGACAATACATTGCAACATGTATACTTTGAAATCTGCTTTAACAAATCATCTACTTTAAAACTTTAAAATAATTGAGGAAATTTTAGCATTTATTGGGTAACTGATACTATGAAATTATTGAGTTTTCTAGTTGTGACAACTGGATTGAGATTATATAAATTTAAATCTATTATAAAGGCAAATAAAAAGTAGGACATATTCACAAAAATAAATTATCTAGCTGCTGCTAGAAACTTTTCATGAGGCTCACTTGCATCAAGATCTAGGGAAACGTGAAGTAGGAACAATAAAAGAATCATAAGTAATATTTCAGTGTCCAACAGAACATTCTTATTGAATTCCTGCCTTTTCTTGGGTCTCAAGCTTTTCACTTAGACTTGAGTGCAAGAATGGTAACCTAACCACCATGCGGATATGCACATGCCCAATCACTGAATAAAAAACCTGCAACTTTCTAGTCAAAGTCTTCTTTCCACTGACTCCTAGGACTGAGGTCACTCTTCAATTTTTAAACTTAATTTTTTACCCCAGAGCCTCTTGGATCTATGAGAAAACTGAAGTGATTTATCTATGCTTCTCATATCAGTACTGATGAAATGAAAGCCTTTTGAAAAGCAGATAAGACTTTAATATATAGGGAAATACTAATTGAAAACACTCAATTTCAACATCTGAAAAGTATTAGGATTTTCGTTTTAAAGAAAATAAATGCCCAGAAAGGACGCGGGGTGGCGCTGCAGCCTTAGAAGTAGAACTAAATAAGCGAACACTCAGATACTTTACCAAGATACTCAGTTAAAGAAGCAAAGCAGGAAGAGGAGCCTTTCTAAGGTGGTTGTTCCAGAATATCAAGGTCCTAAGACTTTCCAATTATCCCAGTATCTGTGAGGTATTAGGAGATCAGCGACAACTTGAGCTGGAGCTGAAGCTGATTTGCTGGGAGAGCAGAGGTGATGGAGGCCGGAGAGGGAAAGAAACACATTCGGAGACAAAGGCAAGTCCTGATATTCTTTGTTTTACTGGGCATAGCTCTGGCTGGATCTGAGTCTAGGAGCTATTCAGTGGATGAGGAATCTGAGAGTGGCTCCTTTGTGGACAATTTGTTAAAAGACCTGGGGTTGGAGATAGAAGAATTAGCTGTGCGGGGCCCCCGTGTCGTTTCGAAGGGGAAAAAAATGAGTCTACATTTAGACAGACAGACTGGGGATTTATTATTAAATGAGAAACTGGACCGGGAGGGACTGTGCGGCTCCACCGAACCCTGTGTATTACCTTTCCAGGTGTTATTGGAAAATCCCTTGCAGTTTTTTCAGGCTGAGCTACAGATTAGGGACATAAATGATCATTCTCCAGTGTTCCTAGACAAAAAAATCATTTTGAAAATTTCAGAAAGTATCCCTCCTGGAACCACTTTTCTAATAGAACGTGCTCAGGACTTAGATGTAGGAAGCAACGGTCTCCAAAATTACACAATCAGTGCCAATTTCTACTTTCATCTTAAATTACAAGACAGTCCCGAAGGCATATTACCGGAGCTGGTGCTGGACAAAGCACTGGATCGCGAAGAACAGCCTGAGATCAGGTTAACCCTAACAGCCCTGGATGGTGGGACTCCACCGAGATCCGGCACCGCCCTGGTCCTCATTGAAGTACTGGACATCAATGACAATGCGCCTGAGTTCACAAAGCTGCTCTATGAGGTGCAGGTCCCGGAGAACAGCCCTGTAGGATCCCAGGTTGCTGCTGTCTCTGCTAGGGATTTGGACATTGGAACCTATGGACAAATATCGTATGTATTTTCCCAAGCTTCTGAAGACATTCGCAAAACTTTTCAAATAGATGCAAATTCGGGAGAACTTCTTTTAAAACAGAAACTGGATTATGAATCAGTTCAGACTTACACAGTAAATATTAAGGCAATAGATGGTGGGGGCCTTTCTGAAAGTTGTGTAGTGTTTATCCAAGTGATGGATTTGAACGACAATCCTCCAGAACTAACCATGTCCACCCTTATCAATCAGATACCGGAAAACTTGCAGGAAACCATAATTGCTATATTCAGTGTTTCAGATTCTGACTCCGGAGACAACGGAAAGACAGTTTGCTACATCCAAGATGATCTTCCTTTCTTCCTAAAACCCTCTGTGAAGAATTTTTACACTCTTCTGACAAACACAGCCCTGGACCGAGAGAGCAGATCTGAGTACAACATCACCATCACGGTCACCGACTTGGGCACACCCAGGCTGAGAACCCAGCACAACCTAACCGTGCAGGTCTCCGACGTCAACGATAACGCCCCGACCTTCACCCAGGCCTCCTACACCCTGCTGGTCCCCGAGAACAACAGCCCCGCCCTGCACATCGGCACCGTCAGCGCCACGGACAGAGACTCGGGCGCCAACGCCCAGCTCACCTACTCGCTGCTGCCGCCCCGAGACCCGCAGCCCGGC